GCTCTTCAACAACCTTAAGCCCAGCAAGAAGAAGCTGGGGCAGCACTACAAGGAGCTCTCCTTCCGTGCCCTCTTCCCCCAGCTCCAGGTGAGGCTGCACCCAGGTGCGGATGAGCCGCGGGGGGGCAGGTGAGGTGCTCTTGTCTGCAGTAGTCTGAGTGCTTGTCTCCGCCCCGCAGGTGCATTACTGGGCCTCGTTTGCGCAGCAGCGAGGGATCCAGGTGGAGTGCCGCAAGGGGCACATCTTCACTCGTGGTACTCAGCGGCTCATCCCCCAAGGTGAGGCGGGGGCCAGGGGCTGGCTGGGGCCTGGGCTGGGCCTCGGGCTCCCTGCTAACTGCTGTCCTCGTTCCAGCCGGCACCGTGATGCGGCGCCTGATCTCGGAGTGGAGCGTCACGCAGATGGTGAGCGACCTGAACGCTGTCACCGTGTACCTCATGGCCTCGACCTGCGACGAGAGCGCCGACCACCGCCTCAACTCCCTGGTGAAGAAGACCCACCTGCTGAGCCTGTCATGCCTCACCTACCAGCGGCACAGTGCCCGCGCTGCCGAGGAGGTACCGCCCCAGCCCCCATGCCTGCTTTGCTACTATCACGCAGGGCAGGGGGATCCCAGGGGGTGTGAACTACCCCATGAGACCAGCATGGGGAGGGGGGCTGTTCCCCCAGGGACCCTCCAGGCGCTTGGGGCAGGAGGAACTGAGCAGGGCCGAGCAGCCGTGCAGTCAGCAGCCGGTGCCTATCTTTGTGGGGGACTCGTGGGCCCTCTATCAGGGTTCAGAAAAAGGCAGTGACCACTCTGCCAGCCAGGCCTGGAGCCCTGGTCCCTCGGGTGCTTTCCAAGGCTGCCACGCTGCCTCCCCAGGACCTGCAGGACCTCCGAGCCTGTTGCTGGAGGGAGTTGTGCAGTCAGGTCATGGCAGGAGAGGAGGGGTGGGGGGTGTCTGGCTTTGCACCGACCTGCAGGATCCCACAGGAGCTGCCCGTCCGGGATGGGGACGATGTCTTCCATACACACCAGCTGCAGCTGGTGGACCTGCGGGCGTCCTGGACCACCACGAACCGCGACATCGCCTTCGGCCTCTACGATGGCTACAAGAAAGCAGCCGTGCTCAAGCGGAACCTCTCCACCGAGGCGCTGAAGGGGTTAAAGATCGACACCCAGCTCCCTGCTAAAAAGCTGAAGCGGGGCCCCCCTGCCCCCCAGCCGCCCCCCCAGCCACGGGCAAGTGCCCCCAGCAACGGGGGCCGTGCTGAGAGGGGCTCCTCGGGGGGTGAGTGCACCCGCCCCGGTCCCAGGAGCCGCTGAGCCTTGCTCTGCCAGGCAGGAGCCGCCTCCTCCTCCCTGCCTCTGCTGGTAGAGCCCCTGCCCCGCCAGGCGATGCTAACCCCACTCTTGCCCCAGGAGCCTACATGCTGCAAAAGCTCATCGAGGAGACGGACAAGTTCGTGGTCTTCACAGAGGAGGAGTCGGGGGCCACGGAGCAGCTGTGCGGCATCGCCGCCTGCCAGACAGACGACATCTTCAACCGCAACAGCCTCATTGAGCTGGTTAACTGCCAGGTACCTGGGACCCTGCCCTGCTCCCCTGGGCACTGTCCCCACAGCCAGTGCTCCTGCCCTGCTCTCTCCCCTGCCCCCCTAGGGAGGGTGGGGACTAAGGGCTGTGCATTCTTCCCCTGCTGCCTACGGAGCCTGGCGGGGCGGGTGTCCCTGCTCGGCCGGCGCTCAGGGGCTGCTCCTGCTGCAGATGGTGCTGCGCGGGGCGGAGACAGAGGGCTGCGTGATCGTGTCGGCGGCTAAGGCCCAGCTGCTGCAGTGCCAACACCACCCCGCCTGGTACGGGGACACGCTCAAGCAGAAGACCTCGTGGACCTGCCTGCTGGACGGCATGCAGTACTTTGCCACCACCGAGAGCAGCCCAGTGGAGCAGGAGGATGGGCAGCTGTGGCTGGAGGTGGGTGGCTGCCCTGTCCCTGTGTGAGCCCAGACCAAGCCCCAGCATTCCCCTGTACAAGGGAAGCGAGATCTGGAGCCCAAACCAGCCCCCGGCTAGGGCAGGGTTGAGGGTCCCACCCTGGCCGCTGGGGAAGAGCTTGGCCCCTTGTGGGGCTGGTGACTGGGGTGGCAGGGCCGGGTTGGGCAGAGCATCACCGCTGCCTCGTCTGCCCCCAGGTGAAGAACATCGAGGAGCATCGGCAGCGCAGCCTGGACTCGGTGCAGGAGCTCATGGAGAGCGGGCAAGCTGTGGGTGGCATGGTCAGCACCACCACAGGTCAGTGCCCCAGCATGGCTAGGCTGGACCCCAGGCTCCCTCCTCAGGGTGCTGAGGGCTCCTGGGCCGCCTCCTTGCTGGTCAGTGCAGCTGAGCGAGAGCTCTGGGGCCCTGCGTGGGCTAGAGGCAGGGGTTGGGCTTGCATTTGTCATCCGGCCCTGCCTGGGGTCTGCCCCCTCACTCTGCATGCTGGGCAGTGTATTCAGCACGCAGGGGACGGGCAACCTCGGTGCCCTTCCCCAGCCGGCCCAAGGTGCGGCTTCCTGACGGCTGCCCCTGTGCCCGCTCCCAGACTGGAACCAGCCCTCGGAAGCCCAGCAGACCCAGCAGGTGCAGAGGATCATCTCCCGGTGCAGCTGCCGCATGTACTACATCAGTTACAGCCACGACATCGACCCCGAGCTGGCCACCCAGATCAAGCCGCCCGAGATCCCGGCCCACCTGGAGAAGGAGGACCTGCTGAAGAAGCAGGAGGGTGCGGTTACAGGGTCCCCACCGGACAGCCCTGCGTCAGTCCATCCTGTCCCCAGAGCTGTCTGAGCGGGGCCTGCCAACCCTTCCTGATTTGGTTCTGGTTTTTGCCCGGTGTGGGCTCCCCCAGCCTCTGCTGTGATGCCCCCTCCCAGCTCTGGCTGTGGCCAGGGTGGCTCTGCCCCCAGCTGGCCCCAAAACCCATCCCTCTGGTCTCCTTCCAGGTGCTGTGGACACATTCACACTGATCCACCACGACCTGGAGATCTCCACCAACCCAGCGCAGTACGCCATGATCCTCGACATTGTCAACAACCTGCTGCTGCATGTGGAGCCCAAGCGCAAGGTACCTGCAGGAGCTAGGGTGGGGTGGGGGTGCAGGGCCCCCAAAGGGCCCCCTCACCCTCTGACGTCTCTCCCTGTGCTGTAGGAGCACAGCGAGAAGAAGCAGCGGGTGCGGTTCCAGTTGGAGATCTCCAGCAACCCCGAGGAACAGCGCAGCAGCATCCTGCACTTGCAGGAGGCCGTGAGGCAGCACGTGGCCCAGATCCGCCAGCTGGAGAAGCAGATGTATTCCATCATGAAGGTGCGGCCCCACCTGGGCTGGGGGGCGGGCTGGGGGGGTCCCGTGCCAGGACAGGCGGCCCTGACCTTGTCGCCCATCCAGTCTCTGCAGGATGACAGCAAGAACGAGAGCCTGCTTGACCTGAACCAGAAGCTGCAGCAGCAGCTGAGCCAAGAGAAGGCCACCCTGCAGCTGGAGAGCGAGGAGCTCAACATCCTCATCAGGTATTGGAGCCCAGAGCCAGTCTTTCCTGGGCTGCCCCCAGCCCTGGCACTGCTCCCAGGAGCCGCAGTTTCACGGCATCCCCTTGCCCACTTGGCAGGTGCTTCAAGGATTTCCAGCTGCAGCGGGCCAACAAGATGGAGCTGCGCAAGCAACTCGAGGATGTGAGCGTGGCGCGGCGCACTGAGTTTTACTTCGCCCAGGCTCGCTGGCGCCTCACCGAGGAGGACGGGCAGCTGGGCATCGCCGAGTTGGAGCTGCAGCGCTTCCTCTACAGCAAGGTACCTCCATCCTGGGGGCTCGAGCCGTCTCTCCGGCCTGGTGGCTGGGCTCCAGCGTGGGCTGCAGGTGGGGGCGATCGGGGCAGAGGCACTCATGGCTGTTCTGCAGGTGAACAAATCAGATGACACCGCGGAGCATCTCCTGGAGCTGGGCTGGGTCACCATGAACAATCTCCTGCCCAACGCTGTGTACAAGGCAAGCACCTGCCTGGGAGTGAGGCCTGGGACCCCCTCCTGGCCGGGCTGGGTGGGGGAGCGTCCCCAGGATGTGGGGGGCGCGTGCTGAGCTGCCCGTCCTCACCTGCCTGTGCTCCCCCCCGTGCCCGGCAGGTGGTGCTGCGGCCTCAGAGTTCCTGCCAGTCCGGCCGGCAGCTGGCGCTGCGCATCTTCAGCAAGGTGCGGCCCCCGGTCGGGGGCATCTCCATCAAGGAGCATTTTGAGGTGAGCGGGTCCTCCTGGGCTGGTGCTTGGCAGCTGCAGCAGGAGGCACTGGAGGGGATGGGGCTGAAGCCTCCCAGGAGCGAGGGAGGGCAGGGGTTACATGCGGCCTGGGGGCCCCATGCTGGCTGCTGACTTGCTGCTCCTCCCGCAGGTGAACGTGGTGCCTCTGACCATCCAGCTCACCCACCAGTTCTTCCACAGGATGATGGGCTTCTTCTTCCCTGGGCGCAATGTGGAGGAGGAGGAGGTGGGCGACGAGGAGGACAAGTCCAAGCTGGTGACGACAGGTGAGAGCTGGCAGGGTGCAGGGCCGGGTGCAGTCCTGCATGCCCAGCTCCATGCAGCACAGGCGCTCTTGCCTAGCAGAGCGTGACTGGACCCCGCCTGCGTGCGGGGACATTGGGTCTGGCAAGGACTCTCGGAGCCTGGCATTGCCCTGGTGCTTTGGCCATGGTCTGGGGGGCGAGGTGGAGCCGTTTGCAGGTGACGCAGCCTGGACCACTCACAGGCCCGTGGCAGAGTGGGCTCTGGGTCGCCTGCTAAATGCCACGCGTGTTCACAGCCGAACACAGGGTCACACAGCCAAGAACAGGGGAAGGCTCAGGGTGAGCGCCGTGTGGGCTAGGAGCCAGGGCTGAGCGAGGCGAGGGGGGAACCAGAGACCTGTGTGCACAGGTGAGGCCATGGCCAGAGCAGCATGGCTCAAGGGGGTTGGCAAGCAGGCTGGTAGCCCGGGGGGGCTGGGCTGGTCCATGCAGCAGCCCCCCACCCCGCACTGATGCCTGCCCACCTCCCGCAGGGATGCCTGTGGTGAAGCCGCGGCAGCTGATGGTGGCTGAGGACTCGCTGGGCCCAGGGAAGGGGGTCGCTCAGGGACTGAACCGGACGTCGGGGGTCAGGAGGTCGTTCCGCAAAGCACCCGAGGTAGGTCCTGCTGCTGTGGGGGGGCCTCCTCAGGCTGGTGTCCTGCTTGGGGGCAGGCCTGCAACCTCCCCAGCCCCAGCTGCAGCATGAGGACCCCTCCCCACTAGCAGGCCAAGCCTGGTCTGTACGGTGAGGACTCGGGCACTGCAGCCACGTGGCAGAGGGGAGCACGGGCTTGGCGCGCAGCTCAGTAAAGCAGCAGCGTGGTGCCGGCCCGGTGCCCCACTCCCTGGCTCCAGACCCTGTCCCTCCATGCAGTGCGGGCTCACGGCTCTGCCTGGCTCTGTCCCCAGCATCCCGTGGACGACATTGACAAGATGAAGGAGCGCGCCGCCATGAACAACTCCTTCATCTACATCAAGATCCCGCAGGTGCCGCTCTGCGTCAGCTATAAGGTCTGTGCCCCTCGTGGCGGGCATCTGGTGGGCCCTGGCTGAGGGAGGGGACACGGCCCGGGCCAGGCCTTGCAGAGGAGTCGCACGCCAGCAGTTGTGGGGCAGCCGCAGCCCTGTCTGCACGTGCACCGGCTCTTCCTCCTCTCTGTTGTGGCCTCTGCCCCTGGGAGCGTGCAGGCCCCATCTGCTGTGTGCGTCTCCTGAGAGCCCCGTCCCTGCGGCGTGAGGATGGTGGAGCCAGGCTTGGCCACGGGCTGCGTGACAAGTCGAGTCTTCCCCTCGTACAGGGCGAGAAGAATAGCGTGGACTGGGGGGAACTGAACCTGGTGCTGCCGTGCCTGGAGTACCACAACAACACCTGGACCTGGCTGGACTTCGCCATGGCGGTGAAGCGGGACAGCCGCAAGGCCCTGGTGGCACAGGTATGGGGTCCTGGCGCCGGGGACTGGCTGCTCCTCTCTCCTCGGCCCTGCCCAATGCCTCTGGCTGGCAGTTCTGCTGCTTCCACTCCCCCGGCCAGGCTGAGGGAAGTGCCCGGGGCTCGTGCGTGGGTGTGGGGACAGGCTGGGGAAAGCCCTGTCCCCTGGCTTCCTGGTGCTGCAGGGCCTGGACCCAGGCTGCCAGTCTTGCTGGGACAGCTGCCAGGGCCTGGCCCAGGACCGGCTCCCTAGGGGTGCTAGGATGTGCCTGGTACATGCCCTGCCCTGCTCGGCCTGCCTGAGCCCGCCGCCCCTACCTCTGCAGGTGATCAAGGAGAAGCTGCGCCTGAAGCCAGCGGCGGGGGCCGAGGCCCGGGGGAAGGCGGAGAGCAAGTCAGATGGGCCCGTGCCCCAGCAGGAGGAGGACGAGAAGGCGCGGCTGCTCATCGGCCTCAGCGTGGGCGAGAAGAACCCGGGCAAGAAGTCCATTTTCAGCAGGCGCAAGTGAGGCCGGTGCCCGGCTGGTCGGGAAGGGGCAGGAGCAGCTCTGGCCGCCTTGGGGAGAGGGGAGCGCAGCCCCTCCTCGCAGCTGGCCCGGCCCACGCCACAAGGACTGTCTCGTCGCAGGGGCGCAGTTGGGCCGCGGCAGGCTGTTGGCTGCTTGCCGGGGTGGGGACGCCGGGCCCAGGCGTCCGCTCTTTGCACGGAGCCTTGTTTTTTATTACGGGTGTATCCCGCGCGGCTCTCGCCGGGCGCGGCGGTGTTGATGTCTCGGCTGGAGCAACCGTCCATGCTGCAGGAGTGTGTCCGCTCCGGCCCGGTGACTGTTGGGGAAGTGGGGACTGGTGGAGAGCATTTAATAAATAAGTTTTTAATTTGGATCTGTCTGCGTCCTGGCGTGATGGACTCTTCTCTCTGGCCACAGGGAGTCATGCCTGTGATCCCGCTCCCTCTGCCCGCTCCCCCAGCCTCAAGCATGTGGCTGAGCTGCCGGGGTGGTTTTCCTGCTTGCTCTGTGCTGCAGTGAGCCTGGGCTCCGGTGCCAGGCTTACCCCCTCCAGGCCCTGCTTGCCTGGGCTTCCTCTTCTGCCTGGCCCGGGGGAGCTGGCACCTCCCTGAATCAGGCCGGCTCCGGTGGGGAGCTGCACACCCCTGCAGTCGGGACCATCCCCAGTCTCCAGCTTCACAGCGCTGCGATTCCTCCCCATGCAGCCACGCTGAGCATCACTGGTGCATGCTGCTGCGGGGGCCCTGGGAGCTGCCAGGCAGCTGCAAGTCTGGGGGCGCGTATTGAGTGTAGGCCCCCCTCCTGCGCTGTGCTGGGCTGGGCCTGTCCAGCTTATCCTGGTGGGGAGAAGAGATGCTGGCTTTGCATCAGCCTGGGTGGTGCTGGTGGCAGGTACCATCCAGCTGTGAGGCACCTGGGCACAGCTGGGGGGGGAGGCTGGCAGAGCCCCCCTGTGGCCAGCGCAGTCTGGGGGGGCATGGGGCAGCTGTGCGTGGGGCTGGGGCCTGGCCATGGGCGGTGCTTATTATGCAAAGGGGAGGGGCGAGCCTGCATGCTAATGAGCAGTCCTCGGCCCGGGGATTAGGGCATTTATGTAACGGTCCAGGGATTAGAGGGGCTGCCTAGCGAGGATCCTCCAGCCATGCGGCGTACGGGGTGGGCAGCAGGCTAGGGCGGAGGGGCCATGGGAGCCGCCAGCAGGCAGCCGGAGGGGCGGGGGGGCCCCGCCACCAGCCAGCCCCAGCCGGCCCCCCCCTGCACCGCGCCGGCATCGTTCACGGTCTGTCCACGGGCAGGGGGTCGCGGGGCTGTGGGTGCAGGGTTAAGCATGGGGGCTGGGGATAGGAGTGGTCAAGTGGCTGCGAGGGGCGGGGGGTAGGATCCCTGGGGGGGGGGGGGGGGGGCCGGACC